AAGGGAGAAAATTTGAGAGCAGACTCTCTTACTTTTTCTAAGACCAAAAGTGAGAACTGAGTTTAATGTCAGAAAAAGAAAAAATGTACTTTTCTTCACAAAAATAAGTTCCCAAGAGATAGCCAAGTAATAATCTTATTTTTACTTTTAGCAGATCTATTAAATTATATGATTAATTATTGAATATTCTGATTTTCAAAGAACAGCTTCTTTTCTGTTTAGATTTGATTGGAACTCATAGCATAGGAAGAACACAAAAGAGGGCACTGGAGTCAGTCTTCAGTTTGCATCTCTCCTTCCATTTTGAAGAGGCTACTTAACAGTCTAATTCTGTTTCCCTATCTTTCCTTTATCCTTCTACTTAAGACAGAGGGAAAATTTCAAAATTCGGGCTATTAAATACAATGAATGCAATGTATTAGCGGAATATTTGCTTCATGAAGTGAATTAGCATGTACTAGTATGCATAATGAATGTTAACAACATTTGAATGCCATTTCTGATGTTATCATTAAGAAAAAAGTAATGACTGATGAACTTTACATGTTATTTTAATGGACCATTACTTACAGGAAAAATAAGACATAAGAAAATAGGAAGGAACTGGATGTAGGTAGACTGGACGTTTCACACAGGAAACACACAACTGTGAGTCTTCTATACGCTCATCAGAGCCTGTTTCCCATGTCCTCCAGTTCATCTTTCTGTCAACTCCACTCCCATATCTCTTTCATAAATTTTCAGTTAATTTATCTAATAATGCAATTTCAAATACAAAGCTTTTGCAAATACACAAAAGCAAGACTGGTGGCTAGACAATGGTTCAGTGATAATGCAGCACTCTGTGAAGCTGACCCACACGGGAAGGATCTTGGTTTGCATCCAGAGACCTTCCTGAATACACTAGGCTGTATGCATGCCCATGATCTGGGGCTAGCTGAAGCTGGGGGGTGGGCTGTGGCTTAAAGACTCCATTGGATGTGCCAGTCTCTTTCTCTCTCTTGCTCTTTCTCTCTCAGAAGAAACTTTTTAATAAAAGACAAATTAACATTATTGATTGCAAAAATGAGTTAAAGAAACAAATGCAAAATCTCATAATTCGAAGTCTCATTTGAGTTGCATGTGACATGTTACATTATGACTGTACACAATGAGTGGAAAACCAGAGTGACCATGAGTCATCCAAAGATAAAAAAATCCTTAGATCAAAGCTTTTATATACTACATACTTGACAATATACTCTGAGAGATAGACATTTTTATTGCGAGGTAGGAATTCTGGCCTATATGGTAAAGTGGTCTTGTAGTCTTGACATTTATACTGATATAATTCTTTCATTTTTCACAGTCAATAGAAATTGAGCTAGCAAAAACAACCTACTCAGTCCATAATGTGTAGACATGCATTTCACATTCAAATTTTCCACAAAAATATAAAATGACTTAATATTTTTAATTCAGATTTCCTGTAGACTTTTTGTATAATTTTCAGGATATCGGAAGTTTTGAATACTATGACTGATCTTGAACTATTCTTATAATTCTCCTGAAATTTTCAGTAGACATCTTATGAAGAAAAAAAGAAAAAAGATGAAATATGAGATGTTTTCAGACACATCAAAATTGAGGGAAGGCTATTCTTGTCAAAGTTAGGCATAACAAACTCCTAAGAATGCTTGATCTGGTGGTGTGGTGTTAGAGATGGAAGCCTTTGATCCTAAAGGTTTTCCATGCACAACTCTTTATTAAATCTGTACAAATTCAATTTGACGCTCAAAGGAAAAGGCCACTGTTGACAGATATAACCAAGCTCTTTGAAATAATTAAAATGGTTTGTTTTAAACACAAATCTAAGTAACCAAGGCCTAGAGGCCTAGAAACATAATCTCTGGTAGCCCAGATAGTGTTTTGGGGTGTTTAGATGCAGTGGCTCTTTTATTTAGTCCTGAGAGCAGGAGAAACAGATAAAATTGTCAATTGGCATGAGTCTTCACATTGGTTTGGCCCAAAAAGGCAGGACATCTGGAAGCAGGGGCATATAGATTATAGGTGGGGTTAGAAATTCTTAAGTTAGTGATTGGCTAAAAGTATAGAATTTTACTCAAAGTCGACAGGAAAGAATACTGGACTTTAACTGTAACAGAGATATTATGTATCACAAAGTGCTAAACCAGGGACAGAATATGAAGCGCATCCTACAATCACTGGACAAACCACTAGATCTGTTATAGCAATAATTGTTTGTAGACATGACTCCTCCCTCAGGTTCTTTGGAAAGTATCTTAGAATAGGAAGACTATTCAGAAATCTGTCCTCGGGAGCAGCAGATGGCATAATGGTTATGTTGCTGGACTCCCACGTAGTCGACTACAGTTGTAGTCCAGGACCCGGTGGCTTAAATCTCATGCCAGGCACATGTGTATACATGCCCAAAATCCTGAGAGGAGAATGGAGAAGGGGATACTGCATGGCTATATCCCCTGGGGGAGTGATTTCTCTGTGTCTCTGGCGAGTGCACTGGTTCTATAATAAAAATCTCTTAAAAAAAAAAAAATCTGTCCTCACTACATCACAAAAGATATATGATCTCACCTCTGTCTTCACTCAATTCTGTGGTGATAGAAGTTTATTTCTGAAATTTATGCCTTGGTTTTCTTATCCATCAGATACAATCATTTCTAAGACACTTCCCAGCACTTAAGTCCCAGGAGTCACCAGTCCTGTAGATTGGAACATTCAGTGTCAAGGAAACACATCCCTCGAGGACTATGATATGTGAGAGCAGCTGCTGCTGTGCCAGTGAGTGAAGATATGGAGAGAGGATCTGTCTCAAGTTCGGCAGGCCCTCTCTCTTAACTGAGCCCTAACTAAATGGCTGTCTGTTTACATTTTTCACTAGCCTCCCAGAATGAGTCTTGAACATAAAGGTCAAGCAAGGGTACCCTTGATCATGTACCCTTCAAATTCGACTGCCAACAACCCAGACAAGAGAACCACTAGCACATGATGAGAGGCAGGCTTGACAGCTAGTCTGAAATCCCAGGCCAGAGAAATTTAATTTTCCATCTGGTTACATATCATTCAGTTTAAGGAAAAAGTTTCTTCCTGTGTTTTTTTTAATTTTTTGCTATAGGACACGTGCACTCATAGAGGCAGAAAGAGAAGGAAAATGAGAAAGCACCTCCTAGGGGGATGGCCATACAGCAACCTCTTTTCCTCCATTCTCCTTTCTGGGTTTTGCCAGGTTTGGAATTCAAAACAGGTAGTTGGCCATTGGAACCCAGCTGCCTTAAATTCCATGTCATTTGTTGGCCTGCTATCAGTTCTTCATCCTGTTTTTTTTTTTTTTTTTTTTTTTCCTTTTGGATATGACCAGAACTCCTCGGCTGTTCTAGTCTGCCCTAGAAACAGGATATACTTCATTGCTTTAGCCCAAGCAGGTATAAAGTTATGGAAGGTACTCCTACCTTCTGCCTTAAACATCCCACTTTTTAAAAGACTCTTCAACAGAGTCAGAAATCTAATATTTACCTCTTCTCTACTGACTCATCCTCTGTACTCTCCTTACTAACTCCTTAGGGGTCAAGGTTGTGACTTCTTTTCTCTTTTGGGAAGCCCACAGGCTGGACAGTAATTATTTCTGTCATACTTTCTCTTAAAGACTAACATGATTCCAAAATTATCTACAATGTTGCTAAAGGGAATAGGTTATGGTTATTTTTCTAAGATTTATCACTGTTGTCCCTCTCATTGTGTTCTATCTAGGTCATAAAGTTACTTATTGTCCAAAACCATTTCTTCAGGAGATTCTTACTCTACTCATTCACAACCTTGAATCTCTAGAATCATCACCATTAATTGATCTTGCTGTAAATTTTATTCCATCAAATCACAGAACTCTAAAATTGTATTTTTTTAAAAATTCATAGCTCTCAATAGTTTTTCAAAGTATGTAAGCAGTACATGACAATCATTAAAGTTGGATGGATAATTGGTCTTTCTCATTTATATATTATATATAAAGAAATTACAGTTTTGACTACTTGGTTTATGAATGAAGAGACAGAAGCTTACATAACTTCAGTGATTTGTCTAAGATAACTTGTCTAAGTTAACAACAGAGCCAAGACTGAAACAATGTTTTACTACTTTTCACAGATAAAAGATAAAAAGCATGACAAAAAAATTATGGTAAAGCATGAAAATGCAAGAATACACTATTTTATTTATGTACTTGAAGCACTGTGAGAATTACGTTGCTTAAACATAGTACTCTAAAATGTCAATTATCATTATATACACAATGCTATTCATTCTTAATTTCAATTAAAACATGTTTTCTATTTTAACATATTTAAACCAGCATAAGTCTTTTTTTAAAGTTATTTTATTTAACTTTATTAAATTTGACCAGAGAGAAACCAAGACAGAGAGAAAGAAAGTGAGAAAGCAAGCTACCAGGTCCAAGACTCACATGGCAATCAGCCATGTGGGAGTCCAACAGCTTAATAACCATGCCATCTGCTGGTCCCTAAATCAGCATAAGTCTTACAACTAATACAATTACAAAGATGGCTTTTTTCTTTCTGAATTGTCTTAAGAGCCAATTAAAAAGGACTACTCTTGGGACCCAAGAATAATGGTTACGTTGCTGGACTCCCACATAGACAACCATGATGTGAGTACCAGGTCCAGATCCAGCTGCTTAAAAGTCATGCCAGATGCACATACACCCAAAATCCCGGGAGGAGAATGGAGGAGAAGGGATTGCCGCATGGCCATCCTCCCTAGCCCCCCAACCCGAAGGGAGTGATTTCTCACTCCAACGAGTACATGTGCCCTATAGCAAAAATCTCTAAAAAGGAAAAAAAAAAAAGAAAAAACAAACCAAACCCTATCTCTGGCGAGATATGCTTAAGCTAAATAGAAGTTAAATAGCTGAAGAGGGTTATAGCAAGGTCAGCTTTCACTTTCATTCCCCAGACACGGGCTGTTGGTTAAAAACAATTCCAAAAGAAGAGGCAACTAGTGTTCCAAAGTATTAGAACTACTAGGAGTTTGGTTTCTTTTACAAAAACACACAATAAAAACAATGAGATTAAACATCTTATGTTAATATAAGATAGTTCAAAGGGTTAGAGAAACTGCTAAACCATAGACTGAGGGCCGAGGTATAAAACTTCATGGAACCTTTGGAGGATTCATTACAAAGGCGGAGATTCTTTATACAGATTTCTTGTCAAGCATTTGTACTTCGATAAAGACAATGATTCCTTATATTAAATTTTTAAGTTTTCTAAGTTTATATTGCATATAGTTATGTATAATGTAATGTCATATAATTAACTATTAGGCAATATTACACAGACTTCAACCAAGACTAAACAAAAGTACACTATTCTCCTAATAAAACTGTAATACTATCAAACCAAAACATTCAATAAGTAAGCATCTCTTAAATTTTAAAGCAGCACTAAAAGTAAATGCTGTTCTTGATATGAAATTTAAAATTAAAACAACTTGTCATTTACTTCTTTACAAATAAACAGGAAACACAAGTTAAAAAATAGCAAACTGCTGATAGCAATCAGTACTGCAACAAAGTTAGATGAGTTTCCTGTAGCTTCCAGGTGTCTTCATAATGGAAATAAATGAGTCCTTAAAAAAAAAAGCAAAACAAATTAAATTATAAAGAGAACAGTGCCTGACTTTCTAGTCTGTATGTAAATGCATATATAAATGTATATTTTAAAATATTTGACAGTAAGAATACTCAGGTAGAAAAGCTAAAACACAGCTAGGCTATCAGATTTATAGCCCAAGTTTAAAAACTCGAAGTTTTAACAAAAAAATGTTATTTTATGCAAGTCACTTAATAAAAGTAGTTTCTTTAAATGACATCCTACTTATTAGAGACTAAGTCTCCAGAGATACATAAAATGTGACTATCCAAATAATTTAATGATTTATTTAGCTATAAAACAAGGTATGACCTGAGTCACATGGAATTCCCTGATTTTAGTTTTTCTTCCTCTATGTAAGCTATGTGGGGCCAGCCTCCAGCATAGTGGTTAGGGTATCTGGATCCCACATGGCCGATTATGCAGTTTGGCTTGAAAAACACACAGCCACATGTGCAATTGTGGTCAAAATCTCAACAGGACAAAGATGTGGAGGAGAAGGGATTATGGTATGACCACCCCCCCACAGGGGTTATTTTCTCACCTTCCTTCCCTCTCTCTAGTGAGTGTACGCACACACCAGAAAATTAAAGACAAAAAAGATATGTAACATGCGATGATATTAGAATTACCTGAATATTTATTAGCTCTTCCTTTTTATTGTTTATAACATTTATTTCACTAACTACTTCTATTCTTCAAGTCACCACCACCAGCAGTATACTAAAAGAATTAATTTAGTGAGTTAGTACCTTGAAAATTCCTGAAATTAGGTACAGAGAGGAACTGAGGCAATAAAACAGAAAAATCTCTTCTTAAAACCAACCAAACTTTAATTAAATAAAATGTTTACTATGTTTTAAGAAGAATTAGTAGGTTGTTGCTACTGCAAGGATATGACACAGTCATCTAATATAAAGCAACTCTTACCTTTAAATTCCAATAATCTCTGGTTATTGTTGAACATTACTGTGAAAAGTACAGTTATTATGATAGTCATAGAGTATTGAAAAGTCACACTCAGTTTACTAATTGATATGAAATACATCTCCATTCTTAATATAAACATTTCCCAACACAGTTGAACTCACATTCCCCATTATTTTCAACTATCAGTCCCTAAAGCTTTGATAAGTAGATAATGACTTAGGTACAATGAGTGGTGTTACATTGCTGAAAATGCTTTCTCATGCTCTCAGAAAATCCTGAGCCTTCAGTGACTAACATACCAAAGTGCGCTGAGCTATCAGATATGTAGTTCATTTCACAGTAGGTATGTGCTTGATTTAATTGGTAACTGTCTCCGTCAGGGAATACTGGTGTCATTGAATTGCTTTAGCCATTATTCTGGTGGGCAGAACAAGTAGCCATTCAGAATTAACAATCACTATAGTCTACTTATTTTTAAGTGACAACATTCTGAAACAGATTCCATCCTGGTATGACTCCAGTGTTTTGTGATATTGAACTGCCTAAATGGATTTTAGCTCTTTAGCTGCTGCCATTACAACAAGTCCCAATAAGAAGTCGTGGTTACTCTGGGAGATGTGTTTCCTGCAGGAGGATGGAAGCATTTGCACTACTTTCTAAATGTGCTCAGTGATGGCATGACTTCCTGATAGTTCTAGTTCAATATATTACAAAGCACTTAGAGATTTTTTTGCCATAGGAAAGAAAACTTCAATAGGTTTCTATGGCTTCTGGGTAAAAGTAAGTAAGATAAGGTTAAAAATCTCATATAACTATATAAAGTATATTTTTAGCCTTATATGTTTCAAAATAAAGTTATATATAACTCTATTTTAAGCATATTTCAAATTTTAAGTATGTTTCTAACTTTAAAGACCTGAGCTGTGGTCTGACCTGCTCTGGGACACTTCCCCATGCTACTGTCCCACAGGAAGACCAGGAAAACATGTGTCTCCAGCAGGCTGTGTGGGCCAGTGACCCTGGAGAAATATAGCATGGGCAATAGGTAAAGTCAAACTCGCAGCTTCTCTCTCTACCCACCTGCTCATCTGATCTGTCTCTAAGACACCTTAGAAGACACAGCAGGGGCTCTCCCCAGGACCTCCTCAGTGTTTTGCTCCCGGGGCTGGGTCAGCCGCTGGGGCTTATCTTCAGGGCCGTCCTGTGGTAGCTGCGCCTCTGCCTCGGTGAGAAGCGACTTACCCTGCAGTGTATATAGCAGCTGGAGGTACTTCTGGTGACTGGAAAGAGGGAAAAAGTATGAAGGGAGGAGATCTCAGCTGGACCACCCTGAGTCTACAGCCCATGTTCCCAATCACCTCTGCAGCTTGTCCCGCGCACGTCCTGCCTGCTGCTTCAGGGTTCCAAGTTCCTGACTTAGCTGCTCAAGCGCCTGCCGAGTTCCTGCCTGATGTTCCCTCACCTCTTCGGAAACCTTTGCCAGATGTTGCAGATGCTTCTCCTGCGAGGAGTGAGGGAGCAGACAAGGCTAAAAAGATGCTGAGGTCTCAGAGGCATCCCCCTAACCTCCTCCAGCTTAGGCCCAATTTAGGATTTAGACTCAGTGATAGAAAGAGGGACTTCATTCACCATAGGCAGGAGCAGGGGCCTAGAGAAAAATGAAGGATCAGAATGTGCTGCTCCAGGTTGAGGCAGTCTAGAGGGAAGGGACATGAAGACGACGAGAAAGCTTACTTGGTTTGCTCTGTACTGAGTACTATTTTAAGTACTTGATGTAATGATTATTAAACCATCCTAATGACTCTATAGGGTTGGTACAATTATTGCCTCTACTTTGTAGATGAGGAAATACAGAAAGTTAGGTAACCTGCCCAAAGTCATACAGTGGCAAAATGCTAAGATGCAAACCCATGTTGGTATCTACACCATGATGCCTGAAAGGAGAATAAAGAATGAAGGTTTTCTAGACAGAGAATATAGCCCATGTGATGGCATGGGCGTGAGAAGGGGCATTACAAGGGGGATGGTCCCACCTGTTGTAGCTGCCGCTGCTTCTGGGCTGTTCTGAATTTCTCTATGGCCATTTGTTTCTGTGGATAAGAGAGGGGGACAGGAGAAGAGAAGGGTCTTTTACTCATTGGAATTTGGGAGATGGAGGTGGGAGATACAACTCAATTTGTTTACCCTTTCCCTTGTCCCCTCTGCCTGCCTTTCCCTCCCCCACCCCCCCCACAAAGTCCCTGGTGCACCTTGGCCTGGAGCTGTGTAAGGGCTTCCTGAAGCTGTGTCCTCTTTCTTTGGGCCTCCTCCACTTGGGACAGAACCTGGGTCAGGGCACCTGTGATGGCCTCCACGTGCTCCTGGTAAGTGGCCTTCAGGTCTTTCCACTGTTCCTTGGCTATCACTGCCTTCTGTCCTGAGATGAGCCAACAGGAATGAGGTCAGGACTGAGGGTAGCCTGCCAGCCTGCATCCTGTGACACTGGGTCTCAGTCTTTCCATCACCCATACAGCAGATCTGACATTCTCCCCACTTCCTTACTCAGACCTGCCCCAATCCCATTCCCCTGGCTACTCACGGCTTGTATCTTCAGAATCCAAGTGGGCAAGGCCCTTCGAAGTGTCCTCCTGAGCTAGAAAGTTCTGCAGGAAGTCCACTACCTGAAGCTGGCTACAGAGCAACTTGTCTTTCTTCCGGGAGTCCTGTTCAGAGGGAGGTGGAGGCAGGGAACAAACATTTTTACTGTCTTAAATTAAAGGCCAACAGAGTGGCCTTCCACCATCGACACTCTCCATGAGCGCTGCTTAGTGTCAAGAGGGACCAGAACCACCCTTGGCTTCTGAAAGGTAGGTTTCCATTCTGTACATACCATCACAAACTCAGCCATGATCTGAGCTGGCAGTTCTGTCTCCTCCTGCAGGCCTATAGGTTCCAGGATGTCTGCCACCTCTGCCAAAACCCTGGAGGGGCAAGGAAACAGGAACTGCAGTATCATGTAGTGCCACACACACATACCAGGATGAGTGTATCACTGCTCGGAGTCTTGCTCCCAGACACAGCTTCAAGTTTATGTGAGGGCCTGAATCTGAGACCGGGAGTTTTAAAAGAGTACAGGGCGAATGCACACGTGGCGGGAATAAGTGCCATGAAGAAAATCAGCAGGGCTAGGGGAATAAGGAGCCTGAAAAAGGGGCTGAGATTTTCAACAGGGAGTGTCTGCACTGAAGAGAAACCCTTGATAAGGGGAGAAAAGGACAAAACTCTGACAGGCTTTGGAAGCCTTTTTGGCAGAGAGGACTAGCCCTGGAGAGGGCTTCAGGATTTAGGACCTGGAAGGGAGGGGGGGTGGGGCCTGAATGCCTGATCAAGGGTCTCTGGGATTTTTTCCTGATAGAGGCTACAGTTGTCTACTAGGGTGCAGGGATGGGGGATAAAATCACATTTGGAAATTATTGCGCTAGTACAAGGAAGACTTTAAGTGACGCTTCTACGACGTCTCCTGGGAGTGGAAAGTCTGTTAGAATAGGCGACACGCAAAGGTATGTGGAAGACAGAGACGGATGGAATCGCCCGCTTCTAGAACAGACCCCTGGGCATGTGTTTGTGGGGAGCAACCAACAGAAAGGCCTTCCCCCAGAGCGGGGCAACATCACCCCAGGAACCTAGGACTGGGGACGGCATAATTTCACAGCCGGGACGAACCCTCACGGCAGTATGGAGTCGAAAGGACGTGGGGACCACGAGGTTCACCTACCCAACCCACCTACCACCTGGCTGCGACACTTACTCTCCGGCGGCCGCCTCTGCTTCAGTCTTCACGGCCTCCATGGTTCCTCGCGCCGCGCTCAGCGGCCTCCTCCCACTGCCCAGTCTGTTTTGAGTTCACTGCGCACAGCGCGCCCGGCAAGTGATTGGCTGCTGAGTCGGTGGGCGGGAACCTATGGATAGCGTGCGCTTTAATTGGCAGGCGCGGATTAAAACGGCGCGGCCCGCAACCAGACGCAGGCGCAGTTGTGGTGGTCTGGCGGGAGGGCACTGGTTCCCCGCCTGCGGGGCGTGCACTGGTTCCGCGCCTGCGCAGTAACCTGTAGGCGGTACTGGAGACAGGAGGTGAAAGGTGAGCCTGGCTGCGTTCAGCCTCTATGATGAAGAGGGGGAGGTAGAAGAGGGAATAGTAGCACCAATCTGAGTTTGAGTTTTGCATTTTGTTTAAAAAAATGTGGTTGCTGTGATAAAAGAAAACAATGGGGTGTCTTCCAAGACGTGGGCATTTGGAGACAGAAACAAAGTGTGAGAGATTAAAAAGCGTACTGCTTTTAAAGAGTTTTGAAAGATAAGGCGCTGGGAGGAAGAACGGAAGCAGACCCTATTGAAGTACCAGGGTTGACAAGACAGAGCTGAAATTATGGGGAGAACACAGCAGGTTGTTTTGCAGAGTGTAACACAACTCAATCTGGAAAGCTTTGTATGGGTAAAGTACACAGAAAAGTCTTGTATTAGTAGTTAGTAATTATTTAGTAGGCTATTTCTCTGTTCTTGTGCCACCTATCATCTTAAAAGTTAAGGCCCAAGTGAATTAAATGCATAGCAAGTCACTTAAGTATGTAAGAGACCAAACTTAAATAATTATAGAGATACAAAAATGCCTACCGGCCAAAAAGGAACAATCTACAAGATCTGGCGGCCAATTAGCTAAAAATGATCAAGCTCACAAAAATGAAAAGAAAACCCATTAAGAAAAATTAGTGGCTGGTCAGAATTGATATAGATGTTAGAATCAACAAAGATGTTAAGACAATGATAACATCCCATTTGTTGGAAGAGTTAGACAGAACTACAATCAGAAGGATAACAAGTGGTGAGGATGTGAAGAAAGTGGAACCCTCATTTTACTGGTGGTAAAATGGTGCATCTGCTTTGGAAAACAGTTTAGTAGTTCCATATAAACTGCAATTCCACTCCTAGGAATATATCGAAGACAGTTGACAATTTGTATGCACGTGCGCACACACAAATGTACACAAATGTTGATAGCATTATATACAAGCAGAAAAAGATAAAAAAACAACCCAGCCTGCAGTATGATGGTTAAGTCAGCTGGATGCCAGGGGCCAAGTGTGATTTCAGTCCTGGACCCTGCAACTTGGGGAACATGCCAGGTACCTGTGCATGCATGCCCAAAATCTGGAAAAAATGGAAAAATGGTTATGATCTGACCATTCCTTGTTGGGGGTGGTTTCTCATTTTCTCTGTCTCTGGTGAACACAGGGAAATAAAAAAAAATAAAAAATAAAATGGAAATTACCCAAATGCCCATCTCCTTATGGATAGGAAATAAGCAAAATGTATATCCATTCAATGGAGTGTAGTATTCAGCAACTAAAGAGGATGAGGTACTGCATACTAAAATGTAGATGAACCTTGGAAGCACTATATTAAGTGAAAGAAACCAGTCACAAAAGACCAATATTGTGTGATTCCAATTATAGTAAATGTCCAGATTAGGCAAATGTATAGGAACAAAATAGTAGTTGTCTGGAACTTGGTACTGGCTGTTAGGGATGAGTTGATAGACTGTGGGAAAGGGCTTCAAATGGGTATACAGTTTTTTTAAAGGGTGCAAATTAAAATGTCCTAAAATCAGGTTATGGCGAAGTTGCACAATTCCCTTTAAAAAAGCCATTCAGTTTATACTTAAGTGTCAAAATTTTAAAAAGTAAATCAGACATAATACTTATAATACACTTAAACTTATAGAGCTGGAAACTATTGTGTGATAGATGAAATTAGCAGATTAAATATTACAGAATAATAGGATAGTGAAATTGAAAATAGAGCCCTAGAAACTAAACCGTTATGGCTCACAGGACAATTTATTACTGGCCAGTGTCCTCATAAACAGAGTTCCTGAAGGAGAGACAAAGGGAAAGGACAAAAAAAAGTAACCATAACCAAAACAATGAAATGTGATGAAGACTATAAATTCACGCAGCCAAGAAGTTCCACAAACATGAAGCACTAGAAAATTAAGAAAATAACACCAAGGCAAACCATAATTACACAGCTCAAAACAGTTTATAAAGAGAAAAATTAGAAGCAGCCAGGGTATGTGTATGTGTGGTGAGGAAGAAGGAGCATTGTATATAGAAAGAAAATAAGCATCACAGGAAATTTCTTGTTAGAAACAATAGAAGCAATAAAACACCAGAACAACAGTACAAGGGACCAGCAGGTGGTGTAACGGTGTAATGTCCCTGGACTCCCATATAGCTGACTGTGCTTCGAGTTCTGGACTTGGCAGCTTAAAACTCATGCTGGATGCACGTGCATGTGTGCCCACAGTCCGGAGAGGAGAATGGAGGAGAAGGAATTGCTACATGGCCATCCCCTGGGGAGGCGATTTCTTGCTCTCTTCTCTCTGTTTCTGCTTCTCTGCCAGCACTTGCACCCTATACCAAAAAAATCTTAAAAAAAAAAAAAAAAAGTCTTGATACTTATATCTAGCAAATACTTTTCCAAAATAAGTTTAACTGGGCAAGTCCATGGCCTACTGAAAAAGGCAGCTGGCTCCTAGTGATGGTTTGTCATTATATTGCTTAGGTCATTCATTAGGCAAAGGTGATGACAGGCTGCTGTCATGCCTCCATTGTTGTTTAGATGATGATTTGTCCCAAAGGTTCATGTTTTGGTGTTTGGTCCCCAGTATACTAGCATTAGGAGTTGGTGATTTCTTTAAGAGATGATGGCTAGTGGCCAGTGCTTGGATTAGGGAGGCATTTCCTTCACGAATGGATTAATGCGCTCTCTCTCTCTCTCTCTCTCTCTCTCTTGTGAAAAGGTGCTTCACTGAGAAGGTTGCTACAAAAGGAAGATGGGGTGTTTCCAGGTCTTTCTTTCTGTTAGCTCTCTGCTTCTGTCCTCCATGTAATACAGCGTTAAAAGTGACCTGTTGTAGGCCCTATGTCTTTAGACTTTTTAGCCACTAGAATTTAAACCAAATAAACCTCCATTTTTTTCTAAACCACCCAGGTCCAGGTATTTCTTTTAGCAGACTGACACTCCATGTCATTTTATAGTACTTCTCTAAGACACTCCATTTCATTATATAATACTCCTTAGCAAACTGGAGAGAGAGATCCTTTTCCTGGCCTTTAAGAAACCTTGTAAATTGCCTGTGGTATCACCTGACAAGAAACTGTGAGTAGAGTTAGAACCTGTGAATAGACTACAACTGACAGCCAATTAGAAGGTAGGGCCTTCAGTCAAACAGCCACAAGATGATGAAGATCCTGCTAACCATCTAAAGGAACATGAAAACAGATTCTTTGCTAATTGAGCCTTCAGAAAACCACACTTCGCAGTTAATATCTTGATTGCAATGTTTGAGACTCTGTGCTCAGTGCAAAATCTTGACCTGTGGAAACTGTAAGATAATATGTGCTGTTTAAGATACTAAATTACAGCGATTTTTTTATACAGTGATAGAAAGCTAATATAAACAACTTATAATAATGAAGGAGATAAAATGAATCTAAATAATATTCCACTCATCCAAAAGAAAACAAAAAAAGGAGGGTGAACAAAAAACAGATGAGAGGTATTGAAAACAAATAGCAAAGGGCCAGCAGGTGGCTTCCTGGTTAAGGGCACTGGACTCCCACAAAGCCAAATGCAGTTTGAGTCTCAGGTGTTTGCTTTATCTCTCTCTCTCTCTCTCTCTCTCTCTCTCTCTCTCTCACTCTCTGGTCAAATTAAAATAAATAAATAAAGTTAAATAAAATATTCTTTAAAAAATGACAGACTTAAGCCTAAGCATATGACTAATCATGTTGAATGTAAATATTTTAAAAACATAATTAAATCAGTGATTATCAGATTGGACACAAAAGCAAAACTCAAGTTATATTAAGAAGTGAACTAAATATAAAGACACAAACAGATAAAGTAAAAGGATGGAAAAAATATACCATGCCAACACTGATTAAGAGATATTTTAATCTTTTAAATATGTGGGGGTGACCAAAGTACCCTTGAAAGTGAGCAGCTTTGCAGCTTTCTGCAGCTGTTGCCATGATGGCTCTACCTCTTTAAGGGTTAGATCCTTTTGATCTATTTATCACAAATCTTCATAGAAACATTGCCTTTTGAATAAGATACTTTCCAAATATGTAAATAATACACCATTGATAGCAAAAATATCTTTGTATTTTCGTATATATATTTGCCTATCTAACTAACTCATCTCTAATATGTGTGTATGTATCTTACAATATAAACATTTACTAGACAGTTAGGAAATAGTATTTTAAAATCCACTTAATTTCTCCTCCAGTCTCTTTTCTCTGTAGAATCTCTGATGTTTTTCTTTCCATGTCACAATTACAAGTTATGAAAAGAATTTCATTTTCACTGCATTATGTATTAAATCAGAAATTAATTACTAAAACGTAAATTCATTTTGAATCACTAATTCAGTAATGATTTTTGGTAAATAAATGACCTGTGTCAGGATGCTATCAAAAGATGATTCAAAATATACCTGTTGCATCATTTAAAATTTGATTCATTATGTGATACCACTGTCCAAAATATCTCCTTCTTTTGTCTTCCTTCCTAAACAGGAATGTTCTCTGATTACATCATATTAAGCTATTAACTAATGGATGTTTTCCTCAATATTTTTCTTTTTAAAATGTTTTTCATATTTACTATCATAAAATACATGTAAAACTTTTATAAACATCAAACTTTATAAATAACTTTAGATATTTGAGTGCAAATTGTATATCTGATTGGGACATCTATGCAGTGAACTATATGTATGTAAACAATAAAATAGTTTATCAAAAAGTATTTATTAGGAACTCAAACCCTTGGTGAGGAAAATACTTTTTGATAAGTATATGCAGACAAAAATCATACAAGAGTATTTTCTCTGTTTTTATTGGGTTGTCAGCCCTGCTCTGAAATAAGGAATCACTATTGTTTCACTTATTTTTTCCAGTAGCTTTATTGAAATATAAATTATATAGCATTAAATATACCAAGTATAAATGTAAAAAATTCTTTGATTCTCTTACATGTATAGAATTTTTCAAATGTTTTAAGACATTTAAATCACCTTTTAGAGATCTATATCATCTCTTTACAATGAATCCTGATTCCTACTCCCAGACCCAGACCATGACTTGTATGATTTTTGTCTGCATAGACTTCGCTCTGGACATTCCAGAAGCATATGATATATACTATTTTTGTATCCAACTTCTTTCTCTTAGCAGTGTTTCAGAGTATCTGAGTATCATCCACATTATAGCATGCTATCACTAATTTATGGTTTTTAATTGATGAATATATTCCAATATATACTGCATACAACTCACCTATTTACCAGTTGAAAGAAATGTTATTGTTTCCAGGTACTAACTTTTATAAATCATGCTACTATGAATATTTCCTTAAAAGTTTTTGTATGAACACACACACACACACACACACACACACACACACATATACATTTCTTTTGAGTAGTTGCTGAGGAGGAGTGAAATTTCTGGGTCACATGATAATTTTTTTTTTTCAGGTTTTGGCCCTATGGCGCATATGCTTGCTGAGGAGAGAAACAGGAAAAGTGAGAAACTACTCTGGGGAGGAGGGGAATGGCCATACTACAATCCCTTCTCCTCCATTCTTCTTTTGGGAGCTTGGGCACACACTCACTCAGAGTGATTTTCAAACAACCGGGTCTGGGTTTTGAACCCTTGTCAACTGTGCGGGAGTCCAGTGCCTTAACAACACACCACTTGGTGGCCCCTGGTCACATGATACATTTATTTATTTATTTATTTATTTGGATTTTACCCTGGTCATATGATACATTCATTTATTTATTTATTTATTTATTTATTTGGATTTTAAGGATATGTCAGGTGTTTTTTAAAGTGGTGATTCCATTTTATATTCCCATCTGCAATATACAAAAATTTCAATTTGTCCACATCTTCACATGATATGCTCAGTAATTTTGATTATAACCATTCTAGTGAGTGTAAGGTTTCTATCTTCTTGTTATGATACATTCATTTATTTATTTATTTATTTATTTATTTGGATTTTAAGGATATGTCAGGTGTTTTTTAAAGTGGTGATTCCATTTTATATTCCCATCTGCAATATACAAAAATTTCAATTTGTCCACATCTTCACATGATATGCTCAGTAATTTTGATTATAACCATTCTAGTGAGTGTAAGGTTTCTATCTTCTTGTTATTGTAACATGCATTTTTCCCCTGATGTCTAACTATGATGGCCATATTTTTGTGTTTATTACCCATTTATATATCCTCTTTGGTGAAAAGAATAGTCATATATTTTGCCCATTTTTTTAAAAATGCAGTTACTTGTTTTCCTAATATTGAGCTATAAGAGTTATTTCTATTCTTTGTGTCTTTTATCAGATATATAATTTGCAAATTTTTTTCTTAATCTGTAGCTTTTCTTTTCATTTTTTGAAGTGTCTTTTAAACTTGTGAGAACATGCTCATTGAACTTATGCAATTTTTTCTATGCTTTCTTCTTCAAATCTTTTAGTTTTAACTCTGACATTAATATCTATGATCTATTTTGAGTTCATTTTTGTACTTGGTGAAAGGCAAGAGTTTAAATTCATCTTTCTGCATATGGACATCCTATTGTTGTAGCATCACTTGTCAAAAATTATTCTTTCCTCATTTATTTACCTTCTTTAGTCAAAAGTCAACTGATCATAAATGTTTTCTTTTTCTTAGACTCTCAACTTTTTTTTGTAGATCCACAATGCCTTAGTTATTGTGCCTTTATGGCACATTTACAAACTGAAAAATGTAAGTATTTCAACTTTTTCTTCCTTAATGAAAATGCTTTGGTTATGCTGAGCCATTTGCATTTCTACACACATTTTAAGAAGAGCTTGTCAATTTCTGCCAAAGGCCTGCTGGGGTATTTTTTTTTTAGCAAGATTGCATTGAATTAGGTTGAAAGATATAGATTATGGTTTTTAATTGTCCTTTTGTTGTTGTTGCTTCTCATTTTTCATTTTATTTTCATCACTGTATGATGCTTCAAAATTTGACAATAATTTTCAAAGAAGACTTACTATCCTTTCTGCATGAGACACTGAATCAACCATTACCAAGTGAATCTAGAAATTTGCTGGAATTAGTGAGACCGAATGCTTGCCTGGTGAACCCTTCTTTCTTCAGGTACATAGCTTATACAAACATAGAGGTGTACCAGTTAAACTTTAAAAACAATAATTTATAGGGGCCAGCAGGTGGCACAATGGTTACGTCAATGGACTCCCACATAGTCAACCACAATTTGAGTCCCAGACCCAGAGAGTTAAAACTCATACTGGGTGCGTGTGGGTGCATGCCCAGAATTCCAAGGGAAGAGTGAAGAAGAAAGGATTGTAGTGTGGCTATCGCCCCCTTAGGGAGGGTGATTTCTCACTTTCTGTCTTTTATCTCTGTCTCTCTGGCAAGTTCATGCGTCCTATAGCAAAAATCTCTTCATAACAAAAGCAAACAAACTAAAAAAAAAAAAAAAAAAAAAAAAAAATCTCTTAATAACAACAGCAAACAAACTAAAAAAAAAAAAAAAAGATTTGTATTCAAATCAAAGATTTTGACATAATAATCTTGTTGAAAAGAAAATAGGCACATAGACCTATTTACCAGGTCACAATAGTATTATATTGATAAAGCAAGGTATTTCGCTCATATACAACTAGATAATTTTTTTTCCTGTATAAAAAAATCTAAGCAAACTTGTCCTCTACAAACACTTTAGAAGATAATCATCTCAGTGCTTTGAAAAATGCAACAGGAAGTTTAAAATTGAGGTACATATTTTGAGACTAGGAAAAGAAAATGGAACAGTTTCTCTTTGTATCTGTGATCTGTGGAAATTATTGCCTGCATGGCCAAAATTCACTTTTATTAATCCAAAGGCACTATACTAGATTTTTAAAGTGCATATTCTTTAATGTAATTGTGACAAAAATATGCTCTGAATTGACTTTTTAGTATTGCAAATTAATAGAAGGAACACAGTTCAGGAAAGTAGACCAACTTAACCAAATCCATAGAGTTAGTAAATTGCAAAACTAAATCTGACACAAAATTTGTCTAACACCAAGGTCTGCTTTTACATGTGCCATGGCAGTTAGACCTGAGAGGATTTTTAGCAATAAAACTCAGACTCTATTGAAGCTTGTTTTCCCCCATGTCATCAGCATCTTACTCTCTACCTGGTACTCAGTGTTTTTTAAATTGATTTGAAGTTGCTTGGTTGTTTGATATCTGTCCTGTTCTATCTACATAAGCAGTAGTGCTTTACCTACAAAATATATATGTTTTGTACTTGGTTTCTGAAATCTTAGAAACATTATTTACTGAGAATACTACATAGTAAAACAATTGAGGGAGGGCATATCTTAGTAGAAATAGACTTTTAAAATATCCTTTAAACACCACACTCCAGTGACCACCATTTTTAACATTTTACATCTTCAACGATATTACTACCTACGTTTTATCGGAAAGGTGATCGGGCTCGAAGAATATTTCAGGTGATCAAAGCTTGAGCTAACTTCAGAGAGGCATATTTTATGAGGAACTGAGTTGTCCTGTGAAGATGTGCATATAAATTTTTAGTATAATTCATGGCAAAACACGAAAGATATGGTCGTTGAAATAGGGTATATCCAAATTCAACCTCAGTTCAACTAATTAGTACGTTTGTGATTTTTGGACAATGTACTTAATGAAGAATTAAATTTTATCATATTCGATATCGATAATAATTAGAATAATTCTTGTGAAAAACCATGAAGGATTGTCTTGACTTATGTTTGACATATTATGGACATTATTAACATTTTAATTTGCATTTCCATCAGCACCTTTGTAGTCATACCTGAATAAAAGCAGAACATGGATAACTGCAGAAATGATTTGAAATTAGTCTGTTATTTAAGAATTTAATAAGTAATTATGAGACCAGCAGTTAGCATAATGACTATGTCGCTGAACTCCCATGTAGCTAACCATGGTTCGAGTCCTGGACCCGGTGGCTTAAACTCACACCTGGCGTGTGTGCTCAAGATCCCGAGAGAGGAGAATGGAGGAGAAGGGATTGCAGTGTGGCCATACCCCCTGGGGGTATGGCCAGACAGACAGAGAGAGAGAGACAGAAAGTGAGAAATCACCCCTCAGGGGGATGGCCACGCCATAATCCCTTCTCATCCATTCTCCTCTCAGGATCTTGGGCATGCACGCACACGCGCCTGGCGTGAGTTTTAAGCCACCGGGTCCAGGACGCAAACCATGGTTGACTACATGGGAGTCCAGCGATGTAGCCATTACGCTACCTGCTGGTCCCCTCACTTTCTATATCTTTGTCTCTCTCTGTCTTTCTGGTGAGTGCACGCGCCCTATAGCAAGAACCTCTCAAAAAAAAAAAAATTTAATAAGTAATTAAAAGTGTACAACATGGATCATAGCAATTTTGAAATGAACTGCATCTCTTATGGTTGCATTTGTATTTAACATGATTTCCAATTATCAGCCTTCATACTTTTCTATTATTAATTTTCAATGATAACACCAAACTATAACTTTGTATTTCACTAAAAGAACAATTAAGAAATACCATTCCAGAGGATGAACATCTATTGATAGTTCAGAAAGCTATTGCTGTTTTTCCATGAACCATGATTCTGAGTGTCAGTGCTACCTACAGCTGTACTTTACTGGAATTTTCAGATTGAGATATAGCATTTTGTTTCAGAAAGGATCTTAATGTTTAGCATCTAAATTGCAGATCATAAGGCAATTCTTGCTTTGGCTTGCTAGTTCCAGATGGGTAAATTCTGACTTACATACTGCTCAGTTCCCTATTTTAGTCTGTCATTCTTCTAACAATGCTCGGCATCCATGCAATTTGGACACGGACCATCTAAAGTAAATTGCAAGACCCTCCTGAGAAAGGACATCTCACTTGGAGCAAATGCCCATGAAAGCCATTTGAATCTTTTCTAATCACAATAAAATCCTCCAGCTTCTTTCTTTTTGTTTTCTGTTAGTAATGAACCAAAACACCACGATGAAAGCCTGAAAGCTAAAGAGATTATTTTTAAGTCTCAAACTCATTTTTATGTATCTCTTGCACTTACATTCTTTAGATCATTTCCTTTGTTTTGGTTTAATTTTCAAGAAAGTTAATTTCACCTTATCTATAGAAATCTTTCCCTTTTAATTCAAAGATAGTTATCTGTTATTCTTCATAACTCAAGAAAAGACTAAGTTGCTTTGGTTTTACCACTCTGTAGTCCTCAAGTTTCACCCTTGGGCCAGCCTGTGGTTAGGTGGTTATGGTGGCTGAACACCACATGTCTGACTGCACAGTTCAAGTCCCAGACCTAGTGACTTGAAAACCACAGAGGGCATGTGTGCATTTATGCAATAGCCCTAAAGGAGGGAGATATGAAGGAAAAAGAATTGCATTTTGAATATTGCCCACGGTGGGATGCTTTCTCACTCCCTATACCTCCTCTCTCTCTCTCTGGCAAATACCCCCCACAAATGCC